CTCCCCTAGCCCCCATCCCCCCAACAGGCTCCCTGTGTCCATGTGTTCTCACTGTTCAACTCCCACTCAGGAGTGAGAACATGTGGTGTTTGGTTTTCTGATCCTGTGATAGTTTGCTGAGAATCATGGTTTCCAGCTTCATCCACGTCCCTGCAAAGGACACGAACTCATTTCCTCTCATGGCTGCATAGTATTCCATGGTGAACATGAGCCATACCCTCTTATTCCATTCTATCATTGATGGACATTTGGGCTGGCTCCAACTCCTTGCTACTGTGAACAGTGCCACATCTTATAGACACAAAAATATGAAAACATACTCAATCTCACTCATAATAAGAAAAATACAAACTAAAACTACAATGAGGTGCCATTTCTTACTCTGCAAGTTGGCAAAAATATCAAAGTCTGTCTATGCACTCTGTTGGTGAGGCTAGGGAAAATCAGGTGCTCTCATATACTGTTGGGAAAGATATAAAATGGCATAATACTTATGGAGGGGATTTTGGCAATAGTTAACAAAATTACATATGTACTTATTCTCCAATAGAGCGATCTCAATTTCAGAAATTTCTTAAAATGATACATCAGCAGTATGAAAATGTATACACATAAGGTTATTTATTGCAGCATTATTTGTAATTGTGAAATACTGGAAATTACCTGTCAAAGCACAGGAGTTTGGTTGGATAAACTATAGCACATATACACAATGAAGTACTATGCAGCTTTTAAAATGTATAAGGAAGTATACATATACATTTGCTTATCTTTGGATTAACACATAAAGCACGAACCCCAAAACAATGAAGTTGGTTACCTACAAGGAGTGTGGGAAAATGGGGTGGGGAAGACAAAGAAGAAAGTGACAGGAGTATACCTTTCTGTATGGTTTTTACTTTTGAAAATATGTTAATATCTTCTACATATTCAAAAAAACAAATCAGTAAGAATAGAAAAATGGGGCTAAAACTGAAATTAAATGTAAACAAATAAACCCAACTAAATTTCAAATGGAAAACACAATGATACTGAAGAGAAACTACAACAAAACTTATCTATAAGTCAGCCATCATCCCTCCCTGAGGGAACTATAAATCACCTAGTTCTTTGTTCTGAAGTTACATTACAGAGATGGATCATAATTCAGGTATTCTTTTTGGGTAATGGTGGTATATGCATTATATGTGGGCATAGGCATTTAAAAATTGTACATATGGGAAGGACACTGAGTAGCCAAAAGGAGAATCGGAAATTTAGTTTGCTATCCACCACCTATTTGACCTTATTCTGGTTACAATGCATTACTTTCCGTCAGAGTGATCACCCCTTTCCCCCCTTTCAGTTCAATTATTTCTTCAGTGTTGACTCAACCCCGAGGAGCTACACATGAGAGGGGAGGTAAAGTTTTGACCTGCTATTTCCATCTTGCCATTGTAATGCCTGAGAATGGGCCAGCCAAATTGAAAACAGATCTGAGAGATGGAGAAGAAAATGTCCCCATGATTTTGACTAAGATATGAATCCGCCAGTAATCCCCTATGCTTTTTAAACCAGTTCAGCTATGGAACTAGTACTTGCAACCAAAAATGTCCTAATGGATTTGTTGCAAAATCATGGTTAAAGACATTATCCAGTTCCATGCCCCTTGTATAAGGTTCTTCTTTGTTAAATGCTTTAAAAATCTTAATATCAGCAAAAAGTATCTGTTGAAGAATTAGCATTCTTCCTCTCACATAATTATGTAACCTGCTAAATTTCTCTTCTTGCCTTTCCTGTCAGGAAGCTCAGAGTTAAATTAATGTTCAAGTAAATTCCTTATTATCCCTGGCTCTTGGCATACTTTTTGTTTTTCCTTTAATTTTCATGATTTTATGTTTCACTTTAGCATCCTTATTGTATATAAGGCTGTTACCATAAACAACCCTGAATCTCTTTTAGAAAGAGAATAAAATCAGTGTCTGGCACAGAAACAGAATACACATTTGTTCAGTAAAAAAAAAAAAAAAAAAAAAAAAAAAAAAAAAATGCAACTATTAGCAAAGTATTTCTGTCAGAAATGGAACAATCAGAGATGTCACATATGGTGGTGTACTTTACAATACTTTCTTTAAAAAAAAAAAAAAAGAAAAGTGGAGATCACCGTACCTACATTCGGAAAATATACCGAATGTATCTGAGAGTCTTAAAGCAAAAGGAAAGAAAAAGGCAAAACCTGGGTTCTAACCTATGCTTAGGCATGGAGGTGGGCCAGAGGGATGAGGAAATAACAGACCTACAAATAGGTTGTTTTGTGCTTGGGTAGAGTAGGTTCTAGTTCTAGAAGAAGCCAATAGTAAAAGAATGTAAACTCCATCTTCAGAAATATGTCCCCAGCAGTTTCAATCTGTTTGTTCAAGAGGACACGTGGGCAATCATGGGAGAAGCAAATTGTGGTCTGATACTTCTATCTCTCACTTTGAGGTACTTTGAGGGTACCTCAAAGTTAACCATCCTGGCTAACGTGGTGAAAACCTGTCTCCACTAAAAAATACAAATAAATAAATAAATAAATAAATAAATAAATAAATAAATAAATAAATAGCCGGGCGTGGTGGCGGGCGCCTGTAGTCCCAGCTACTCGGGAGGCTGAAGCAGGATGATGTGAACCCGGGAGGCAGAGCTTGCATTGAGCTAAGATCGCGCCACTGCACTCCAGCCTGGGCGGCAGACGGAGACTCCGTCTCAAAAAAAAAAAAAAAAAAAGAAAAGAAAAAACAAACAAAACAAAACAAAACAAAAAAACAAAAAAAACCCCTGTATCATGCTTAGTTTGGTAAACCTAAATTATTTAAGGGTCTCATTGACCAAAAAATTGCATTACCTATTTTGGTAGCTAATGCTTAAAATAAAACTGCAGAATGTAGTCATACTTTTGTAAGAATAAGTTTCTTAAACTATTAGGTATAAATGGTGATCAGATATTTTATTAAGGGGTTGTGAGATGGAAGACATAGCAAAAGCAGAAAAGAGATTAAAAAGAGGTGGCCAGTAGGAAAGCAATTTTTGCACTTACCAAAGTTGGCCTAGTGTCAGTCCTGTTTACCTTAAGAAGTTGATTGAGAGAAGCGGAAGAAGTACATGGCACTCTCAATCACCAGGCTCCAAACGCATTTTTGACCCGCATATGAAATAAAATTTCTGTGTATATGTACAGCTGTTATAAATTAACATGGCATACACATGTGACTTTTTTCATAAATTTCTGTTACTCTACTTGATTCTGAGCTTTAAAAATTTTTGCCAATCTTTAGGCTATTTTTTTTTTTTTTTTGCTGTAGAAAAGGTTGTCACCTTATTTAACTTGCAAACAAATGCATTTTCCTGATAAGTCCTAAAAATACTGTAAGCTTTAATGTTCATTTTATTGAATTTCCTTGCCTTATGAGAATATTAGAAGAGTAAGTGGGAAAAATACTAGAGTTTAGGACATATCAGCGTATAGGCATAAAAAACCAATATCCTGAAACACCTGTTACATCTGGCCCCTGAACAAGGTATATCATTTCCAATGAATTCTGCAATTAGATGTATGTGTTTAATAAAAGCAGACACAAAATTTTATATCCAAAAATGATCAAGCAAGGTCAATGGTAAAAATGTTAGAAAGTTGCAGCCTTTTTATTTAGTACCCAGAGAATGCCAGTAATTTAACACATCTTGATAATTGTTGCTCACAGAGTTTTGACAAGAACAAAAATAAATATAACTTCTATGCCTTCTTTGGCATGTTGTAAATTCAGAATGATAGCCATTTCTTTAGCAGCATTGTGAGAAAAAAAACATTGTAAAATGCACTACTGGATTTGGTCTTACATGATAAAAAATGTAGTATAATAAATGAAAACTTTAATGTCAAAAAACCCAATGGTTTAAAGAAAACATTAATAAAATAAATAGTAACATAAAATTCATAATATAGTCAGAAAAATAAAATAGTTTTTGAACATTGGGGATTGTTTAACTGCAGCTTTTAAGTACATGTAAATCAAATTTACACACAACTTTTATTTAATGCCATTTCAGTCTTCAGAAATGCAATGAAATGTCAGTGTGTGTGTATATATATAGTGTGTGTATATATATACTATATATAGTATATATATATATACTATATATAGTGTGTATATATATATATACTATATTTAATATCAGAAATAAGTTTAGGAATTCAAAAGTGCTTGGGACGTGTTGGCAAACTAATTTTTTAAAAATGTGGCTACAGCAAACTGTGGTCACTTCATAAAGCCTATGTAACTCTCCACTACCAACAGTACTTCCTGTTTTTTTTTTTGTTTGTTTGTTTTGTTTTTTTAATCAAACAGAAAAATCACCTTCTCCCTTTTTTGTACTACGGAATTTAATGCAAGATAAATTCTAACTTACAAACCATGCTGGCATTTGGATATTTAAGGTTTCATGTCTAACTTTTTAAATCGCTGTTTCTTTTCTTTCTTTCTTTTCTTTTCTTTTCTTTTTTTTTTTTTTTTTTTTTTGAGACGGAGTTTCACTCTTGTTGCCCAGGCTGGAGTGAAATTGGCGCAATCTTGGCTCACCGCAACCTCTGCCTCCTGGGTTCAAATGATTCTCCTGTCTCAGCCTCCCGAGTAGCTGGGATTACAGGCATGCACCACTACCCCCAGCTAATTTTGTATTTTTAGTAGAGACGGGGTTTCTACATGTTGGTCAGGCTAGTCTCAAATTCCTGACCTCAGGTGATCCACCGCCTCAGCCTCCCAAAGTGCTGGGATTACAGGCATGAGCCACTGTGCGCGGCCGGCTGTTTCTTGATAGACTGCTTTCCTGCTGCTAAAAATAATTTTATCATACTAAAAAGCAAACCTACATATTTGTTATAAATGGTAGCAACTTCAGAGAGAATGAATTTGGAAAGAGAAAGAAAATGTGACCTGAGCAATATTAGTTCATAGGAAACATAAAAGTAAATAACCTAATTGGTAACATTTTGACAATTTTTAAGAAACGAATGCAGTTAGTACATTCTCTATAATTGTCCACCTAAAATTAGATGCTTAATATCTTTTGAAGAATAAGTTAGTTCCCATAACTAGACAGTTGGAATTACAGCAAAACAGTTATCCACAGAAGCTCTATTGCCCAGCGTTTAGAAATGTGAATACAAAGCAAACCCTAACTTGGCAATTACACATATATATATATATATTTATAAGCATTTAGCTAAAATTTATTTAGTGAATAATTGAAACATACATAATTTGCCAATATAATGTAAGCTTGGATTTCCATATTCTAAAAGTACTTTTATGTTTTTCTAAATATTTCAAAGAAACTTATGTCTATAATTTAATATCTTCAAGTATAGTTCCTTTCTCTCTTATGTATTAGCAACCAAACTGAATTTTATAGCATAACATTTTATTCAAAGTATATGATGGAATTCACTATACTGTAAGACTAAAACCAGGAACAGTGCATCCATTAGTATATGTTGTGAATAATCACTATCAATGCCACTATATTCCCACATAAAAAGGCAAATAGCCCACTATTGATTTATTCTGCTAATTTCAACAATCATTGATCTTGAGGTACATGCCAAAAATGCCTGAATAACCTTTGAAATGTAAAACAAAAATGTTTTGAAGAAGTTTAATTGCAGTTGGCCAATATATATTTAATATGGTTTGCATTTTTATTTTGAAATAGTATTGTGACTTAAAGGATTTCTAGGTCCTAAAATCTGGAAAAGGGATCTAGAAAAATTTGGACTCCATGATTAATTTGGATTCAATCTTTCTGTGCTTTTTTTTCCCTTTATAACAGGAATGGGATGGCAGTTGGGGGGAATAAAACTTCTTATGCTATATAGGTCATGTACTGTGAGAAATAACACAAAACTATGGATTTAAAAACAACATATGCAGAAATAACCACCAATCTCTGTCTACCTCCACATCACTTTATCATAGAAGTTCATAAATTGTGATTAAAAAGCTTAAAAGATTTTAAGAGAAAAGGTAGATTGAGAAGTAGAAAGGAAGTAGGAAGGAAATTGTGCAAAAAAAAAAAAAAAAAAAAGAAACAGTTTATTAGATACTCTGACCCTGGGACACACTGTTCCTTTCCCCAAAAATATCTTCCCTGATAAGAACTGAATTTAAAATTATTCTCACCTTGTTAGATTGCCTGAAGATCCAGCAACTAGAAACTTGATTAATGCACAACTTCCTTAAAAATGCCAATTAACTATTAGCCACTGACAGAAAAAAGTAAATTAATTTAATAGGATAGTTTTCCTTTCAACTTTTTAGCTGGAAATATCTGTTCTGAGAGAATGGATATCCTGATTTGGGGAAGAGGAAGAGGAAGGAACAAGGAGTAATGACCACAACCACACAGAATCTTTCTGGGGATAGGGTAAACTTCGTTGATGGAGTATTGCCGTGAGGTGCTCAGGGAGGATAGATAGCATGAAGGGGCTGGAAAGCCAGCAGAAAGAGAATGTACAGAATACCACAAATACGCTTTGCCTACTTTAAAGCCTAAGTTTTCTCGTGGGCCTTCGGGTCAATATAAATGGTTGTTTTCCTTCTTCATATATGAAAGACTTCTATCTAGAAAATACTAGTCAATCTGTACGCAAGTTTCTCTGGGCACTACTATTTTAACATGTTGTTCCAATGGGCAGACATTATAAATACCAAGCATCTGTTCTTAAGGTTGTGGGTTGCCTAAACATATGGAATCCCTTTGAGCCAAACACAGGTGCTATCAAAACTGCTTTATTGTGTTGAATTACCAATGACAATAAATTACAAAAAACAATGTTTAGACATTGCTGAGTCTAACAAAATAGGCTGAAGTTTGATCTTTGTGAAAGGACTTGAAACCATTTTTTTTCCCCCCACAAAAATCCCCATCACCAGCACTGCATTCTAATTTTCTTGAAAATTGTTTCCTGAGTTTATTCCTGGTAGTATGTGCTTAAGGACAACAGGTTGTTAGTCTATTTGAGCAAACCTGATGTTTTCTCTAAGAAAAACAAATTCAATATCCTCCCCCTTCAAGAACAATAAAACCCCAAACTGTGCTATCATTAAATACTACCAAAAACCATTAACTAGAAAAACACAACGCAAAATAATTATTCAAGAACCCATTAGAAACCACAGTATTCTAAAGTCTTATAGAAAAGATGTGTTTTTACTAGTTAAGCACTGATAGAAGGCCCATCAAAAAATGTTCAAATCTGCATTTTTGGCTATAGAATTCTAGCCAAACTGGACAGGATTAGGCATCCTTACCTGGGCTCCTTCTACAAAATTGCAGTATATTTTGAAGCTTTCCCATATAATAAGGTTTCCCCCTACTACTGTTGTTAAGCTAGCATATTTGAGTTTTTCAGTAGAAAACCCTCAAACAATTATCGGGTACATCCAGTAGCATATCTGTGTCTTTTATACACTGTCGATCCTCACTGGGTGATCAGAAATCATGCTGTTCATTGTTTAATTCTTATAGTGTTCCTTTTATGATAGGACTGTATGGCATGATCTTTCTGAGCAAGCTAATTTAAAATTAATTAAGACTGTCTACTTTTTAAAGCCATTGATTATAGAAAACTTGGAAGTTATTTTGTAATCATTTTTCATTTTCCAATTTCACTTCCCCTAATTTTATTACTTAAAATACATCGATGGAAATAGTAGCTCTGTCCTGAAAACTTCAACACCAAATTCACACCTCTGAGTTTGACGTATCAATTCTGATAGGAAGAAGGTATAACAGCACAAGATAATGACAGAAGGAAAATAAGTCAGAATATATACATACAAACTGTTACATGCAAGTACATATAGTAATAAAGCAAATGAGAAAAAAAAAAGCCAAATGGAACATAAAAAGCCATAAGACATGATACCTACTTCTAAGTAATTATTTTTCATGTGGCATAAATTGTTCTTTAATCTCTTCCAATTATTTCCAAAAGATACCTCAAAATAAGAATACATACTTTTATATATCACACCCAGGAAAAAGATCTTTGTGCATGGGGTATAGATTATTTACATTACAAAGAGAATATGTATAGTTTCTTTTATTAAATACCAAAGTTACAAGTTTCCTAGTCTAAATTGTATAATTCAGCACTCAGTAATCAACTTTCTCTCTGAATGAAGCAAAGTAAAATACATAGCAAATAGTACACCTAACATATACAAGTAGTTCACTTATATTCACTAAAGAAAACTGTGATATCCTCCAGTTTACATTCATGAATTCTTTCTGTCAGCAGTGGTAGTAGTAGTAGTAGTAGTAGTAGTAGTAGTAGTAGTAGTAGTAGTTGCTGCTGCTGTTGTTGTAGTAATGGTATTTTCTTCAACAACGTGAAATTATTCTTTAGCATTTCATCATTTAGAGAAAAGAATACATACTACACAGTGGTTCTGAATTATATATTAAATAAGACCAATTTGGCCAGTTTTTTTATAAATATGATTTTGAAATGTGCTCAAATTTTATGTAGACCATTAATATTATTCATATTTAAAATGTTAGTTTATCTTTATGAAGTAAAATGATTAAGTAGCATTGTCTAAAATTTACTGTAATACAATATACTATATCATGTGTGCTATATGCACAAGTCCACTACAGTAAGATGTCAACTGTATTATCATAGGATTCAAGGTAGAATAATATGCTACACTGTACTTCAAAGCACATCGAAGTCAGAAAAACAACAGTGTAGTTCATTTATAAAGGGGATAGATGATGATTAAATCCAATTGGTTAACTTGAAAGTCGGTTTATATAACACCAGGATAGTGTCAACACCACATACTTTAGTTTCAAAGGCTTAACTATGACCTATTTATAAGATTACACCAACAGTGTAATAAAGCCTTTGGAAAAAAAAAAGCTTCACTTGTACTAAATTTCCATGTGATGTAAAATTTACAGAAGCCTTATAAAAACCTTTATTTCTAAATGAGGCCACTTATGGATAATATACAGATCTGCCTGCACACATTATCTGAGATGTAATTCTTCTATAAAAACTTTGGCACCAACTATATCAAGAATTCATATATTAGCACAAATGTATTTTGCTCTGGCACCAAACCACTATGTTTACATTTTAGTACAGTGAGTCAAATGAACGGAGTCCTTTGGTTTTACAGAATAACTAGCTTTTATAATATGTTTTTACTGTTTTTCTTTTTTTAAAAAAGTCTATCATTCAGGATCTGATGTTAAAAAATACTAACATTGCTTGTCATTATACTACTAAATATATATATACTGATTGTTGGTAATGACGCCCCAAACCATAATTGTATGAAACAAGAAAAAAATATTAAAGTAACTTTATTTGAAAGGAATTTTAGAAGCTAGTGTGCAGAGAAGTTGTGAGGACCTGGTGGACACCAATTATATGCTTAAATAAACACTTGAACACTACTGCAAACACATAGTATGAATATTGTGGACCTGTGCATGGTTTTTTAAATCTCACTTCCCCTAAAAATGGGGATTTAATATTACTTAATATTCAAGTAATTAAGCAGAAAACGATGCCTTTGATAAGATTAGGAAAAAAGCCACACATTTAATTTCATCTTCATCCAGTTTGGCCTAGGAACACCACAAATCTTACAGGCCAGTTGATGTTCGCTTTTTCATGCTCCGTCGCTGGGCTAAGCTTGAAGCAGCTACAGGCTCTAGGACTGGTTGAAAGGTCTTGTGAGTCAGGGCAGAGTATGTTGCAACCATTGCTCCCTAAAGTAATGAGAAAATGTCACAAACTAAGTACAAATTCTGGAGTTAAAAAGAAAACATTCACATGATATTATGCGACATACATCTAGAACAAAATGTCTTTTCCTAGGAAAATAATTGAATATATTAGATCTGTGCACTGATGAATCAATATTACTTGTATGTTTTTCATTTCAATAACTATGCATTTTACAAAAAATTGTTAAAACACTAATATTTAAAACCTTGGTTCAATGTATATGGATGTAGGAATGGTTTCATGAACAGTTATAAATTAAGAACAGCAATCTTTTGTTTCAATATGAAACTTGCATTTAGCCCAATCCTAATTCCAGCATCTCTCAAAAGCAAGGCGGGTACAATCAAGAAATTTTTCTTGTTTCATCTGAAAGGCAGTGGTAAAGTAAGCTAAGAAAAGCACATGGTTGTTAATATAAAAAAATCTACCTTTAAAAAATAAAGATATTTTAAGGAATTATTTAAGTATCATTAGCAAGTGGCACACAATGGGTTTATTACATATCTGATATTTTGAAGGCACATAAAAGTATGTTTGTTTTACCTTAACAACATGTGACACATCATTTCTCTTTGGCTGATCATTTGGCAACTGGTCTCTGTGAGTTATCCATGAGTGCTTTAATATTTGTTCAGTAGTATACCGCTGACGTGGGTCCATATGAAGCATATGGGAAAGCAAATCCTAAATTAAAATTTAAAAAAGCGTGTGTGTATATATATATACACACACACATACATACATACATATAATTTTACATTTACTGAAAATGTGACAGCATCGATAGCCTTGCAATCTATTTATTTTACCTACATTTATGCAAAGTAAAATCTATACTCTACACAGTTAACTCTCAAGAGAATCTTGAGAGAGATTTTTCAATATATATTAAATCCCTATACAACACTTTTAAATCGGAAGATGCCAAATCTGTGGAATTAGATGTGTGATTAATGAGGGAGGAGGAAAACGTAAAATGGCAGAAGTTATCCTGGAATATGCTAAATGTTCAGCAGGAGACAGGAGCTACTGAACTTTGCTGTTAAGCTGGGCCCCAAGGTGTAAGGGTACGTGTACACAGATAAAACATAGAAGGGAGGGCCCCATGTAGTTAATCCATTCAATAAATGGTGGCTTACTATATAACATATTAAGAAAGCAAACCATAAATCCAATGTTAGCAACTGGCTTCTATCATAGCAGTGCTCAGAGCATTGTAAGTTTTTCATCAGAGTAAGTGTGAGTTTGCTTATGTTATCTCTGTTGTAACAAAAAAAGTTGTAAATTTAATACAACCACACAGGAAAAGTTTTCAGTATATTAAGAGATGTAATACTTTTAAATAAACTGTCTCTCCAAAGTGTCTTTTAGAGAAATGAGAAGTAAACTCCTTAAGAAGCATTTTCGGAGAATCTGGCAAGATGGCCAAATAACAGCTCTGGTCTGCAGCTCCCAGCGAGACTAACGCAGAAGGTGGGTGATTTTTCCATTTACAACTGAGGTACCCAGTTCATCTCATTGGGACTGGTTAGCCAGTGGGTCCAACCCACAGAGGGTGAGCAGAAGTAGGGTGGGAGCATTGCCCCACACGAGAAATGCAAGGAGCCAGGGGACCTCTCTCCCTTAGCCAAGCAAAGCCTTGAAGGACTGTGCTACCCAGCCCAGATACTATGCTTTTCCCACGGTTTTTGCAATCCACAAATCAGATTTCCTGGTGTGCCTACACCACCAGGGCCCTGGGTTTCAAGGACAATACGGGGCAACTGTTTGGGCAAACACTGAGCTAGCTGCATTTTTTTTTTCATACCCCAGTAGTGCCTGGAATCCCAGCGAGACAGAACCATTCACTCCTCTGGAAATGGGGCCGAAGCCAGGGAGCCAAGTGGTCTCGCTCAGTGGGTCCCACTCCCACGGAGCCCAGCAAGCTAAGAACCACTGGCTTGACATTCTTACTGCCAGCACAGCAGTCTGAAGTCAAACTGGGACAACTGAATTTGGTGGGGGGAGAGGTGTCCACCATTACTGAGGCTTGAGTAGGCAGTTTTCCCCTGACAATGCTAAGGGGGCCAGGAGGTTTGGACTGGGCAGAATTCACCACAGCGCAGCAAAGCGGCTGTGACCAGATTGCCTCTCTAAATTCCTCCTCTCTGGGCAGGGCATCTCTGAAAGGCAGCAGCCCCAGTCAGGGGCTTACAGATAAAACCCCCTTTTCCCTGGGACAGAGCACCTGGAGGAAGGGGCAACTGTGGGCGCAGCTTCAGTAGACTTAAACTTTCCTGGCCCCCGGCTCTGAAGAGAGCAGCTGATCCTGACAAGGAGGATTCTCCCAGCACAGCGCTCTAGCTCTGCTAAGGGACAGACTGCCTCCTAAAGTGGGTCCCTGACCCCTGTGCCTCCTGACTGGGAGAGACCTCCCAACAGGGGATCAACAGACACATCATACAGGAGAGCACCAGCTGGCATCAGGCTGGTGCCACTCTGGGACGAAGTTTCCAGAGGAAGGAGTAGGAAGCAATCTTTGCTGTTCTGCAGCCTCCACTGGTGATACCCAGGTGAACACAGGGGCTGGAGTGGACCTCCAGAAAGCTGCAGGAGACTTGCAGAAGAGGGGCCAGACTGTTAGAAGAAAAACTAATAGAAGAAAAACTAACAAACAGAAAGCAACAACATTAACATCAACAAAAAGAACCCCCACACAAAAACTCCATTCAAAAGTCATTAGCCTCAAACATCAAAGACAGAAAAATCCACAAAAATGAGGAAAAACCAGCACAAAAACGCTGAAAATTCCAAAAAACAGAATTCCTATTTTCCTCCAAATGACCGCAACTCCTCTCCAGCAAGGGCATAAAACTGGACAGAGAATGATACTGATGAATTGACAGAAGTAGGCTTCAGAAGGTGGGTGGTAATAAAGTCCTCTGAGCTAAAGGAGCATGTTCTAACCCAATCCCAGGAAGGTAAGAAACTTGATAAAAGGTTACAGGAACTGCTAACTAGAATAATCAGTTTAGAGAGGAACATAAATGACCTGATGGAGCTGAAAAACAGCATGAGAACTTCGTGAAGCATTCACAAGTATGGATAGTTGAATGGATCTAGTTGAATCGATCAAGTGGAAGAAATGATATCAGAGATTGAAAATCAAATTAATGAAACAAAACATGAAGATTAGAGAAAAAATAATTAAAAGGAATGAACAAAGCCTCCAACAAATATGAGACTATGTGAAAAGACCAAATCTACGATTGACTGATGTACCTGAAAGTAATGGTGGGGAGAATGGAACCAAGTTGGAAAACACAATTCAGGATATCATCAAGGAGAACTTCCCCAACCTAGCGAGACAGGCCAACATTCAAATTCAGGAAATACAGAGAACACCACTAAGATACTCCTTGAGAAGAGCAATCCCAGGACACATAATAATCAGCTACTCCAAGTTTGAAACAAAGGAAAAAATGTTAAGGGTAGCCCGAGAGAAAGGTCGGGTTAACCTACAAAGGGAAGCTCATCAGACTAACAGTAGATCTCTCTGCAGAAACCCTACAAGCCTGAAGACAGTGAGGGCCAATATTCAACATTCTTAAAGAAAAGAATTTTCAAACCAAAATTTCATATACAGTCAAACTAAGCTTCATAAGCAAAGGAGAAATAAAATCCTTTCCAGACAAGCAAATGCTATGAGATTTTGTCACCACCAGGTCTGCTTAAAAGAGTTCCTGAAGGAAGCATTAAATATGGAAAGGAAAAACTGGTAGCAGCCACTGCAAAAACACACCAAAATATAAAGACCAATGACAATATGAGGAAACTGCAACAACTAATGTATAAAATAACCAGCTGGCATCATGATGACAGGATCAAATTCACACATAACAATATTAATCTTTAATGTAAATGGGCTAAATGCTTTCCATAAACAGAACCAATGACAAAAACCACGATTATCTCAATAGATGCAAAAAAGGCCTTCAATAAAATTCAACACCACTTCATGCTAAAAACTCTCAGTAAACTAAGTATTGATGAAACATACCTAGAAATAGTAAGAGTTATTTATGACAAACGCATAGCCAATATCATATTGAATGGGAAAAAGCTGGAAGCATTCCCACTGAATACCGACACAAGACAAGGATGCCCTCTCTCACTATTCCTATTCAACATAGTATTGGAAGTTCTGGCCAGGGAAATCAGGCAAGAAAAAGAAATAAAGGTATTCAAATAGGAAGAGAGGAAGTCAAATTGTCTCTGTTCACAAATCACATAATTGTATATTTAGAAAACCCCATCGTCTCTGCCTAAAAACTCTTTAAGCTGATAAGCAACTTCAGCAAAGTCTCAGGATACAAAATCAATGTGCAAAACCCACAAACATTCCTATACACCAATAACAGACAAGCAGAGAGCCAAATCGTAAGTAAACTCCCATTCACAATTGCTATAAAGTGAATAAAGGAATACAACTTACAAGGGATATGAAGGACCTCTTCAAGGAGAACCACAAACCACTGCTCAAAGAAATAAGAGAGGACACAAACAAATGGAAAAACATTCCATGCTCATGGATAGGAAGAATCAATATCGTGAAAATGGCCATAGTGCCCAAAGTAATTTATACATTCAATGCTATCCCCATCAAGCTACCACTGACTTTCTTTGCAGAATTAGAAAATACTAATTTAAGTTTCATATGGAACCAAAAAAGAGACCCTATAGCCAAAACAATCCTAAGCAAAAAGAATAAATCTGGAGGCATCAGGCTACCTGATTTCAAACTATACTACAAGGCTACAGTAACCAAAACAGCATGGTGCTGGTACCAAAACAGATATATAGACCAATGGAACAGAACAGAGATCTCAGAAATAACACCAAACATCTACAACCATTTGATTTTTGACAAACCTGACAAAAATAAGCAATGGGAAAAGGAGTCCCTATTTAACAAATGGTGCTGGGAAAACTGGCTAGCCATATTTAGAAAACAGAAATTGGACCCCTTCCTTATACCTTATATAAAAATTAACTCAAGATGGATTAAAGACTTAAATATAAAACCTAAAACCATAAAAGCCCTACAAGAAAACCTGGGTTATACCATTAAGGACACAGGCATGGGCAAAGACTTTATGACTAAAACACCAAAAGTACTTGCAACAGAAGCCAAATTTGAAAAATGGGATGTAATTAAAGAGCTTTTGCACAGCAAAAGAAACTATCATCGGCATGAACAGGCAACCTACAGAAGGGGCTAAAATTTTTGCCATCTATCCATCTGACAAAGGTCTAATATCCACAATCTACAAGAAACTTAAACAAATTTAGAAGAAGAAAACCACCCCATCAAAAAGTGGGCAAAGGATATGAACAGACACTTCTCAAAAGAAGACATTTATGTGGCCAAAAACATATGAAAAAAAGCTCACCATCACTGGTCATTAGAGAAATGCAAATTGAAACCACAATGAGATACCATCTCATGCCAGTTAGAGTGGCAGTCATTAAAAAGTCAGGAAACAACAGGTGCTGGAGAGGATGTGGAGAAATAGGAACGCTTTTACACTGTTGGTGGGAGTGTAAATTAGTTCAATCATTGTGGAAGACAGTGTGGCAATTCCTCAAGGATCTGGAACCAGAAATACCATTTGACCAAGCAATCCCATTACTGGGTATATACC